GAGCCTGGCAAAAGGATATTGTTTCCCTGACCCTTAGGGCATCGTACCACATGATCTCTGTCCCCCAGTTCCCCATAATACTGACCAGGTAACGTGTGGCTTCTACTCTTTTCAGCCCTTACCTGGCATCTTTCTCTTAAATTATGTCTCACCCAGGTGCTCCTATGGACGGCACTGCATATGCCAGTCTTGAGGGAGGAGGGGTGTGATGGGGAGGAAGGCCATAGCTAGGTTTCCCTCAGAAATCAAGAGATCTCAGCGGCTTAGAGAAAATCCCATATAGTGACCCTCTGAATCCAAGAAAGGATGCTCTATGGAAGGCTAGGAAAGACCTCAAGTGCTCAAGATGACACTGGAGAGAGAGACAGAGACAGAGACAGAGAGACAGAAGAGACTTTGGGCAAAGCAGTCCTAAGCCAGGAAAAGAAAAGAGGGAAACGGATCCCTAGGGGAACGTGACATTTTCAAGGATGTGAAGGTTATCTACGGTTAGAGTTTATTATGAGGATCTACATGAGCAGATCCAAGAGAAACCAAACATTTTTTGTCTCTTTGATGCACCCTATTACTCTGCTGGGTTCTGTGGTCAGGCTGCATTTAGTCCACAGCCCATGAGAGGGAACCAGGCTGGCTGTATGCAGTTCGTGTGGGGGTGGGAAGGTGCACAGGAAGGAAAAGAACAGGGTCATTAGAAGATGTCTGGCATGAAATGGGGCAGATCTTATCTTGGTGGATCACAGGGATTGTATTAAAATAGCTTTCCTTAAATATAAGAAAAAGTGAATTTCCTTTTGGGTAGAATTGTCCATTCCCCAACCTGCGCCATTCTTCATTTGCTAGGGGGAGGGTAGAGCCCCCTCTCTCAGTCCAGGGCAGGACATTGTGGCTGTGATCCTGCAAAGGGTAGCACCAGAAAGATTCAGAGTCTGAAGTAGTGCCCCAGGTGCCATGAGGATGACCTCTCGTCCCTGACTTCCCCTCTGGGGTCCCCCTTCTTCCTCCAAAGGCCAACTCAAGGCTGGCATGGCTCTGAGATTGGGAGAAAGGCATGGGCTGCAATGATCATGTTAAGAGGGGTCAGGAGCCTCATTTCCTGCCTACCAATGAAGAACATCTCTCCCGCTCTTCTGAAAGTGGCTGATATGAGTAAGAACAGGCAGGAGGGAAACCCTTTGTGCCAATGACTCTTCCTCAATGAGTGGCCCTCTGGGGAGCCCTGTGCTGCTACCCGACAGGCTACCCGGTACCTCATTTGCCGCCCCCTCCCCCAGGCAGTCTCTGGGGCCTTCTTGCTTTCATTTTCCTTGAATGTACATAGGAACAGGGGAGGAAAGTCTCTTACTGAAGTGCCTGAAACCCAGAGGTAGAGCTTCTAGAGACGCTCTTCTTACATCTCCACGTGGCGAAACTTCCCAGCGTTTTCTGGTCTCATACTTCAGCTTCTCAGAAAGAATAGAAGAACTCGCTGTTCTAATTAAGTAGAAAGTGAGACTCAGTAATCAAACTGCAGCAAAAGGCAGAGAATTATAGGGAGAGATGACTGTATTTTAACAACCCAAATCTACTCTCTCAAACTGCCATAAACACACACTTTAGGGGACTAAGAGAGAGAAGCATGTTATTGTAATTCCATTCATCAAAAGAGTGATGCAAAAATCCGTAGAATTTGAAAAGCTCAGGATCTCTCCCAAGGTACCGCAGGAAGGCCTACAGGTGAGATGGGGAGGATGGAAACAGGGACTGATTTTGTAGCTCTTCCAATTAGGATACCCGAGGAACAGCATTGTGGTGAAGGAGCCCATGCTCTCGGTCAGATTCATCCGGTCTACACCTTTCTAGAGCTGCCCAGTGAACTCAATTCTTTATGTGGTTTCTTGGTCGTGTCAGTTTGGGTGTCCTATTAGCCTGTTCTAGTTACTTGGGAATGAGCTACACTCTTTCCCTTCAGTCTAGCCCAGGTCCAGAACTCAGTTTGATCCGAACAGTCTCAAGGATTGGCATGGGGAGGGGGGAAGCTTTTTTTTTAATCGCTTTTGGTCACTGAACCTACCATTTTAAAAGTAAGATTTGCTTTATGAAAATCAATTCATTAATAAAAACTACATTGAAGTTGCAACACCATTTCATAGTGAAATATTTTGAGTAAAATTTTGTTGCTAGGATAGTCATGGACAAAAGTTTTATCAGCAAAATGTTTGAATTACATGAATAAATAAGACAATGCTACTAGTCCTGTGTCTGTCCAGAATCTTCTCTGCGAGTTGCAGAATTAATAATTTTTTGTCATAGTCTCACTTGACGGGAGCCAACAGTTGCAAAAATGTTCTTAGAGCAGATTTTCTGCATGGTTTAGCTGATGCCACGTGTGTGATATGAAACGCCACGCCCAAGAATCATAGGTAGGGAAGAATAATTAACAAATTTGTGAACTGTGCCTAAGAATTTTCAATTAAAAATTGAATCTTAGAACCTACCTAATCTTCATAGTCTCCTATTGGTTAGCTTTGGCTCACTAATGAAATTAGTTCTTTATGAAGCAAAAATGTATTTGTAAAAACTAAACTTGTATGACTCACTTTTGGTATAAAAGATCTTAAGTAAGACAAATCATTAAACTCACAGTTTTGGCAGTGTAAACAAGCAAAAAAAATGAGTAATTTGTTAATTGCTCAGTTCTGCTCTATTAGTTCTTATTTCATTTGTAGTTGTGACATGCATTGTGTGTTGGTATAGATCCAAGTGGTGGTTGTCATTAGCTAGTATCAGTCGTGATTCAGATGGTAAAATAGCAATTCCCCTTTAGGCCCCTCATTTAGGACTTAGCCACTTGTTTGTCAGATTAGCTGTGCTTTTAAAAAAAATCACTTTGGTCCTTACTATGTGTTTTGTTGTTATTGTTTAAGATTGGAATTAGTTAGCTTTGTGCGTGTCCATCTGGGTTTGGTGGCCCATCGTAATGATGCTTGACATGCCTTGTAAATTGATTACTTGTGTTTACGTTTGCTATTTTGGCTACAAACCTAAACACTTTTTTCTCTGTCCTGAGAGTATGTAATGTTGAAAGCTTGTTTAAAATTGGGCATAAACACTGGTTTAATTTGCTAACTTACATTAACTTATAAAATATATGTACTAACTATGAGTTAATATACATGTACATACACACTTCTTCCCTTATGACCCATAAGTAAGCTTCAGGTCTTGGAATTTCTTAGGAAGTTCCATGTAGCCCATAGAATAAAGAAAGCAGGAAAAAAAAAAAAAAATCTAATCTCTATTTTCCAGGTGGCAAAATTGAGCCACAGCAAGAATCCACAACGCTCCCATGACCATGCAAAAACATTGAAAGAAGACATAATAAATATATCCCAGCCCTTGAGCCTCATTCCAAACATTGGACATTACTGAGTATCTTCTTCCCCTTTTCCCTGGCCTCCCAAGAGTACTGACAAGAAACCACATCCTGGGATAAGATCAGAAATACATCTGCTAAGAAGCCATGGCCTATGGGCAGGTTCATTCCTACCCCCCTCTAAACAGAAATCCCTATGAGTCAAAGTAGATGATGATATGCATAATGGCCTACCAGCAGCACAATTAATCAGAAAGCTCTCAGGGGAGAAGTTCAAAGGAGTTTTTCACTACCAGTTAGAAATACTGATGAGAACGCGGAAGGACAGCTCTCTTAACTTGACAGAGTAGGACAAGACTGGCAACAGAGGCTAAGTCCTGAGTAGGCTATCTCTCAGCCACACACTCCTCTCTCTTCTTAGGGATAATTTGTCAGGTCCTCAAAAATGAGGGAATCATGTCCATACCAAGGGAGTCATATGAGTCACTTTTCCACTTCCCATCTCTATTCAGAGATCATCTCCCATTTATCAGGGAAGACATTCTATGACCTTCTTAACAATTTATTCCATTGAGGAATCCCTTTATGATTGCATGCTATTAACTAATGGAATCCCTCACCAAGTTCCCTAGAACATACACTGCTTAATCTCATACTTGGCAGAGACAGACACCAATCACTAGCTATGCATTCTAATGAATTATCCCCTTTCATAGAGTAGGATTGTCACTGAGACATGGCTTCTTACCAAGGGGCTGTATTTCCCAGACCCCTTGCAAGTCAGATGTGGTCATAAAACTGGGTTCTGGACCATGGAATGTGAGAGAAAGTGACGTGCATCCCCTCCCAGGCCTAGCCCACGGAAACCTTCCAGGTGTCTCCCACCTCCATGTCTTTTTCCCTTTCTAATCACTGGAATGGAAATGATTCCCAGGGCAACCTTAGAAGTCACATGTTGTAAATGGCAAGGTTCTGGAATGACCATGCAGAGGGTCACCCTACCGACTTTCTCCCTATCTGTTATGAGAGCAAGAAAAATGTCTCCTGTGTTTGAGTAATGTACATTTTTAGGTCTATGTGACATAGTAGTTAATCTAATCTAATTAATACATATACATTTCCTGGGCACTAGTTGTTAACTACAGTGAGAGATTTATAGGACATGTGGTTGAGCATGCCAAGACAGGATTATAAATTCACTTCTACAGAAGGTAAAGCAAAGTAATCAGACCTCTCAGAATTTGTGGGGTTAATGTGGACAGGAACAGAATCTTTTCCTCAGCCACTTGGCTAGATGGCCAATTCAGGATCTTAATTTATTAGATTTTTATTTATTAAAAAGCATGACACTGTACAACAAACTATTGATTTTACCTTAATTTCATAGCCGAAGAAAAAAAGACAAAAATATTAATTAAAACTCCACCCTGTTCAGGTTGTTCCAGAAATAAATCCTTCTTTATGCTGAGGAGACAGCACCAATGAACTCTTATAAAGTGCTCTAATGGTTGGAAAGGGCAAAACAAGATGTTCAGAAAAATGTGAACTCTAGGACTCATTGCTATTTCTGGGGCACTTTAGTTTCCATTGCTTTGGTACCTCCATCTTAGACTTAAGAGTTTGACAAGTTAGAAACTGACCACAGGCATCTAAGAATTATTCTTTATTCAAAAACACATCCATGAAAAGCCAAGGAAGTACAAAGGCGAGCCTGCACCAACATCTTCCAAGACGAGATGGAATCATCTCTGGTCTTTCCAGCAATTCCCACTGGTGTAATCATGACTCAACAGTCTGTTGCAATCAGGTGTGGAAAGGGGAGGAGTGACAGCTAGAATGCAAAGAAGTGTGCACAACCCAGAGCCATCCCGGCTTTGCCAAAACCCAAGTGCCCCCCTGGGAGTGTCTTACAACATATGTTCTGTTGAGAAATGAGGTTGCAAACCAGGGGGTTATTGCAATAAAAACCACTTGTGATGAACAAGAGTTGTACCTTTAAATTTATTTTTTTAATGTTTGTCTTCCTTACTAGACAATCAACTCTGTGAGGGCAGAGACTATGTCACCACCGTACCCCAGCCCCTGACACACAGCAGGGACTCAATAAATATATGTTGTAAGGATGGATGGATGGATGGATGGATGGATGGAAGGATGGAGTCTACCCGGCTCCAGTGTGAGTAGGAACATTCTCTGCTATAGGCAGAGAGAGTGAGAAAATAAAACACAAAGACACATACAATTTTTAGCATTTGAAAAGTGGGATCGAATAAGGACTAATAAATCTTCTAGATAATTGTACTTCTTTCAATGCTCAAGCTATATTTTTCTATCACTTTGAAACCCAAAAGTAAATACCTTCCCAAAGTTTGTTTTGCTGGTCGGAAATGCTTTAATAAAAATGTAGTCTCTAACTAGTCGTGGCATCACCGGAGAAAGGATGTCACTTCCAGGCCCCAGAACTCAAAGGTGGCAGGACCCAAGCAGGCACCATTGCTCCAAATGGACCAGCCTTACAGCCTCTCACTCCACCACTGTTCACTTCTTCCAGCTTAAAAGTAGAGCACATGTTCACAAACTGGGTGGTAAGTGGGAGGAACTCTGGTCAACAAGAAGCTTGCATTGGACACTATAAGGCAATAGTATTTTACTGGCCACAGTGTGACTGGACTTCACTCTCTGTTCAGACATTGAGAAGAATTTTCTGGGTGGGCAAAGTAAAAAAAAAAAAAAAAAAAAAAAAATTCCGTTGGTCACATTACCCAAAAAATAAGCTGACTCTAGCCCAGCAGCATCTGTCCATACTCCAGGACTCAGTCTGTGACTCTCCTGAGGCAAACACCTGGCCGTGCAGCTTGTCCTTCCGTCCAGTCTACCCTTTGGGGTCCAGGCCCTTGGCCAGTCTCATACCCAATGCTATCTGCCTCATTGCCCAAGTAGTATCACATTGGTGTAACAAGACATTTATCTGGCCAAGATCTCAGGGATGGGGTCAGGTTCAGTGGACCTGAGCATGCCCATTCAACATGTTCAAATGTCTCCATCCCACCCCAACCACATGAGATGGCTCCTGAGTTATGCATCCCAAGAACCTCAGTTGGGAAATCTCTAGAGCAGATTCACTGTTGCTCAAGAGCCTGGGTATTGTAGCAGCCTGGAGGCAGGTTGTCCCTGATGTTCTCCAGGTTCTTCACGTCAGCTAGAATCCCATCTATGCTCATCTCCAGCACGTGGAGGTGGCCCTGCTGCCGACGTGCTCTCTCTTCCAGCTCTGACATCAAGGGCCTCAGCTGGCTGTTGATCTGAGTCTTGGCCCGGAAGAGCTTCTGCTCCAATAAGATCAGCTTCTCTTCATCCACACTGCCAGGCTGACCTATTTGAGGGAATGAGAAAAGAGTTAATATAGAAGAGCTGGGGTTAGATCTCCTTGAACACACGTGGGCCCTCTAGACCCTTAACTAGTTCCTGTTTCCACCTGCCCAGAGGAAACAGTATGCCGTGCTTATTCTAGGGGGATCTGGCTGGCTCAGGCGGTGGAGCATGTGACTCTTGATCTCAGGGTTGTGAGTTCAAGCCCCACGGGTGGTGTGGAGTTTACTTAAAATAAAAAACTTTAAACTAAAAAAAAAATAATAAAAGCCTTATTTTACACTGGGATATTTTACACTTGGACCACAATATAATATAGATAATACAGAAAATGTTCCGAGAGCTCTAGCCTAGTTACTAGTTATGAACAGCCCAGTTCAAACCTCTGAGCTCTATAGTTAAGAAATGGGAAGCTTGGATTTCTCCTTTCACGTTGGGGCCGACAGTGCACGCTCTGAAAGGATGAAGGCTGAAGGTCACTGGAGACTGAGTACTGTCCAAGATGCCCTCCCTACACAGCTCACCCTCGGATCAGGACCAACTCCAAATTATGTTTATTGAACTACCCTTAGGAAATATCTTGCTATTTTCCATTAGAAGACCTTTAGAAACTGGCTGGGCTTTTGGGTTTATAGAGGCCAAGGTATGCTTTGCTATTTGGGGGATAGATTCCAGCTGTTTGGAAATGATGTAAGACTTCATTCTGGCCTGAGACAGTGGGAATCTGGCTAGATATTCGTTTATTTCCCATATGAAATGTAGTCTTATTTGTTCAGGTATGTTTTACCCATACACAATCTAAAACTAATGTCAGCACGAAGGGCACCTGGCCAAACCTGTTTGATGTGCATAGGGTCTGGGTGGCCTTTGGTCAATTCAAACTCAAGGTCAGGTTGCCTCCCACATCGGAGCTGCGGTGATAGCATTTGCCTGCCCGAGTTTATTGTGCCTGGGGGTGATGACATGGTGACTGGTCCAGGACTCCAGGGAGCAAACAGGAGAAACAACACCATAACAAAAATGCAGATCCAGTGGATCGGTCCTTCACCGAGGAGCAGGGGAGATTTCCAGCACTTCGGGGTCTATGACATGCCGAGAAAGTTAAGTAAGGTTGGGAACAAAACCACCATGTCCATGGAGAGGCGGTACAAACTGCTCAAAAAAGGGGCAGGAGCACTGGCAACAAAGAGATCTCACTTCGAATCCCACCTCCAAGTTTACTATGTGATCCACGGGACCCTATCAACCTCTCTGAGCCTCAGTTTACTGCTCCGTGAGATAAAATAATAAAAAAAAATAAAACCTGTCTCACAGGACCTTTAAAAGACTTAAGTGATATTACACCAGAAAACACCTGGCAGAGTGCCTGACACCTAGTAAATGTTTAATAATTCCCACCAACTTATTTCCCCCACACTCTCATTTTCTCTTGAAAGGCCCTATTCGTTTCATTACCTTTTTCAGAACATTAAACAAAGCTGCTAAAATCTCCACTGGGGAGTTGGGGTTTTTTGTTTTTTTTTTTTTTACCCTTAGAGGCTCTTTACTCTTTAGGGCTCATTGGACCACAAAGCAGACCCATTAGTATAACAACACAGACAATATTGATCTCCCAGGGTAAGTGAGGATGGTACTCCACAGAAAAATCAGATTTTAAAATTCTTCAGCTAGGGCGCCTGGGTGGCTCAGTTGGTTAAGTGTCTGCCTTCGGCTCAGGTCATGATCCCAGGGTCCTGGGACCGAGCCCCATGTCAGGGTCCCTGCTCAGCGGGGAGTCTGCTTCTCCCTCTTCCTCTTCCTCTTCCCCTCCCCCTGCTTGTGTGCTCTCTCTCAAAATAAATAAATAAAAAAAAATCTTAAATAAAAAAGTAAAGTTGTTCTACTGAACCTAAAAGGTAGAACCAAGCCTCTTCCGGAATGTGGCTGGAATCTGTGACTGAATCCTTTGTTCCCTATCTGCTGCAGTCCACGCTTGATAAAACGGGCCGAATGAGGGTTTGCTATCAGATTTACCAATCCGAAATGTTAATCCTCATCAGTTTTTTGCGGGGGAAGAATTCTGTGGGTAAATCTGAATTCTTGCCACCCTGTGCCATCACATCTATTTTACTTGAAAATTTTGCAATATCTCATGTACCTACTACCTTTACATTTCTTCTGGGCTATCAGCCAGGTAGGCCAAGTCCCACAGCTGGTTATATCATGGTATAACTGTGGGCTGGGGACAAACAGCAGAATCGGCAAGTGACTCTTGACTTCACAGGCTGGGAGAACTCCCCTCTCACCATTTCTACTGCCGCAGAGCCCAGGCTCTGTCATCTCCCTCCTCGATTCCCTCCGCCATTTCCAAAGTGGTCTCACCCTGCCTTTTGTCTAACCAAGGCTCCTCCACTCACTCGTGCAACTCCACTTAGTGATCTTTCTGAATCTACGGTGATGATGTTATTCCTCTGCCCACAACTGCCTACAAGCTTCTCAGGATCAAGGTCAGAATCCTTAGCAGGACTGTTAAACTGTCCAGTCTTCTCTTGAGCTGTGAAGTTTGAATACTGCCTCCACAGTTTACTATGGGATCAGTGAGACATGATTAACCTCTGTGTGCTTCAATATACCTTCCCTAAATACACCCAGATCTTTGAGCTAAAGACTTTCACCTCCAAGGGCAACAGGTACTCAGTGACCCATCTTTAGATGGTAAAATAGAGTCCAGAAAATGTAAAGTTGCGTGCCCAAAGTATCTGGGCCTAGAAATAAAACAAATTTCTGATACCCTTAAGGGTACCCTTAAGGCTTCCATTTATCAGGGCTAGGTCTCACTCGTCTTCTGGGAGCAGCCCTGGAGCACGGGGCTGGAAGTTTGTGGATACTCCACATACTTATTAGGTATAGGATGCTGTCCAATGAGTTGAGTGTGTCTTGGATCGTAGCTCCAGCATTCTTGGCTCTGTTATCAACTCTTTGCGCTTCTGTAATTACCTGAAGAAAAAGAAATAGAAAGCAATCTTGAAAGGGTGTCTCTCATATTGGCGGGTTTAAAGGAATCTCCCATGGAGAACGATGGGAACTGACCATCTGCACTGCGTCCATATCCAGGTCAAACTCTTGCTCCTTCCTGGCCAGCTCTCCTTCCACTTCCCTCACCTCACTCTTCAGTGTGGCCAGTCCCTTCTCCATGGCCAAGGCTCCATCTGCTGTCACATTGGCTTCCAAGTTCAGACTTCCTATCTCCTGGGAAAAGAAAGGGAGCCAGGGACGGGAGGAGAGAGAGGGGTGAGGCACAAAAACGTCCCAGGGACAAATAGAGAAAAAATAAACAGCTGCAGCCAGACCCTGCTGGAGTAAGTCAGATGAACAACACGAGTCAGACTTGGAGACACACCCTTCCCCAAGCTCTGCTTCAAATAAATTAATTTGGGGGTATGTCTGTAGGGACTAGGAGGGTCAGCAGTGAGACACTGATTCCCTCACAGGTCAATGCTCACCAAAAAGTGAACGCAATAAAAACTATTTGGGAAAACCCAGAGGGTGAGAAATTCACATCATTTCCTGTCATAGTTCTTTGCTGCCACAGTCATTTGAGCAACTTTACTGGGATCCTTGAGACAGTTGAGTTCAAGGTGCAGAGAATGAAAATGGGCTACAGCTGTGGCTTTTGTTTTTATTAGGACAAATTTTATCAATATCTTTACCCATAAGCTGTTATTAAACATCAAATTGCAGGTATCTCTGTGCTAAAAGCTATATTAAGAGAGCCACATGAAACTGGGCTCCACCCTCAAGGGACTTAAAGTTAGAAATTATTCTTGCAAATTACCAAGTGGTCCAAGAGACAGGTCAAATAGTCCAGATACTAAGAGTTCCCCCTGAGCTTTCTAGAGTTGCATAAGCTTTCTAGAAGTCATGCCAAAATGAGAGCTAAGCAGCTCTCTTCCAGCCGAGAAGCACAGCTTCTATTACAGCATTTCACATAGGGGTTGTAGTGTATCTAGTCTATCTCTCCCCATTACACGGAATGCTCTTTGAAGAGAAGGACTGGGTCTTTCTCATCTTCATATCTCCAGCATCAAGCACAGCGCTGGCACATAGTGGAAACAACAAAAATGAATACGCAGAACTTAGACATAGAAAATAGAGATAAGGGAACTAGAACTCCAGAATTTCATAATCTTGAGTCAAACACTGATGATTGTTGTTATGGGGTTGAACTGTGTCCTCAAAAAGATATGTTGATGTCCTAAATCCCAGGACCTCAGAACGTGACCTGATTTGGAAGTAGGGCTGTTGCAGATTCAGTTACTTAAGATAAGGTTATACTGGAGTCCAGTGGGCCCCTAATTCAAAATGACCACTGTCCTTATAAGAAGGGTCAGAGATATGCAGGGAGAGAAACCCCACGTGATGATAGAGGCAGAGACTGGAGTGACGTCATTGCAAACCAAGCAACGGTAAGGAGTGAGAGTCACCACCAGAAGCTAGGAAGAAGCAGGCAAAGTTTCGACCCAAGAGCCTCCAAGGGCCTGTGGCTCTGCTGACATCTTGATTTCTACTTCTAGCCTCCAGAACTGTGAGAGAATAAACTTCTGTTGTCTTAAGCCATCTAGCCTGTGGTACTTTGTTACAGCAGCTCTAGCGACACTAATACAAGAGTTGATACAAAAACCCAATCTTGGATGGTTCTTCTCATGGTACTGTCCAAAAAGGGAGCTGAAAATGAAGGTTCGAGCTCTTGGTCAATGAAAGCCTTGTGACTCAACCAACAAAAGGGGGCACGTAAGTGGCTCTGGGGCTGCCATGAACCACGACAGCACTCTGAGATCTAGGGGCCACAATGAGCCCAATGCTCTCTCTCTTCCCACACGACCCTTATGTTTGGGGCTGCTCATGCCAACCTGTGTTTCGATTTCTCTTTACCTGTTCTATCTTGTCAGTGATCTCCAGGGCCTCCCTGGCTGCGGTCTTGGCCCTCTGGGTGTCGGTGGCAGCACCGCCCAGGGCTGTTTCTGCTTGCTTGGTCTTGTCACTGGCATCTGCGACCTTCTGGCTGATGTAGGAGAGTCTCTTCATGGCCTCTTCCGCTTCTGCTTTTTTGTCTTCAACCTGCAAGTCAAACTCTGAAATGAAGACAAGGAAACAAAAGTGACTTGTGAAACTTACAAATGAAATTGGATGGGGCTGAAGTTTTTAAGAAAAATCCCAGGAAGAGGGTTATGACTGCCTGGGGGCAAGAGTGTGGGAAGTTGTGGCTGTTACTGCCCTTTCTTATCCAGCAGAAAGCCACTTAAAGGAGGCACTGAAAGGGCCATGATTAGATCGTTGCTTAGAGAAACTGACAATCAGCCTGCCCTGGGTCCCCACCACTGCAAGAGTATTAAGACCCCAAAGTAGATCAGAAATAGGTGAAATCTCTGAAGCCCAAAGTTTCAAGCCAGAGCCTTAAACCCGAAGCTGCCAATGATGAGAACTGGAGGTTGAACAGAATGGGTAGAGAGGTTCTTTCTGTGAAGAAAATCCCAAGACTTGAGAAATGTTTCTTTTTTTGTTCTTTCGTGAAAAAACCTGAAATTGTAACCAAATCTCTACAAGGCAGAAACCCAGATTTCCTGGGATCCAGGTGCTGTGACAGTTTGTTCTATCATCACCACAAACAACCACATGGATTTTATCCTGGAATCAACCAGGCTACAAAAGAAAAGGGAAAAATACCTGTGTCGTAGTAGGATGTTGGATCTGTGAAGGACCTTAGAGATCCTTTAGCTCAACCTTCTTTCTTTAAAGAAGAGGATGTTAGGGTCTGGAAAGGCTGTGACTTGCCCATGGTCACACAGTCTGCTCAGAGCCGTCATGCGGCCCCGCCAAGCTCAGAACTCAAGCCTTCTGACATCTAGTTAAATTCTTTCCACTACATCAAATATTAATACAATTTCTTACTTTAGGAAGGTATTTATTAAGTGTCTGTTAATATCCCAATGTACCTATCATTTAGAGAGATGCACAGGGATTCAAAATAAATCAAAGTTGTGGTTATTCCTTTACCATATCAAGTGACCTGAACCATGAAATGCTTACCTCTGAGGTTCTTTAGGATGTTCTCAACTTCATAAAAAGTGGCATTGCCCATACTTAGTGCTTCTTGGGCTCTGCTTTTAGCAAGGTTGGCACGGGAAAGTAGCTGATCTGATGTCTGTAAACAGGCAGACAATAAAATTAAAATGTAACATACACCTAGGAGGAGCATTCCGGCCAGCAGAATCACTCGAACACATTTCTCTTCGTGACAACTGAGTGCTGTGATTCACCAGAAAGTCTAGGGGTGCTGTCGTAAAGCCCTCCACAATCTGGGACAGAGCAAACTTTATAAACCAACGACACATCCTGTATAGGGAACAGTCTCAAATTCCGGTCCACTATCAAGGACAAGTACAGTTTTGCAAATCATAATTTTATACTCTAGATACTTCCTAAAGCCAAGCTAGTAGAAAAAGCTGGACCAAAACTGAACTCAGGAGGCCTGAGTCCTATTCCTAGGCTTGAGGGCTGATTCAGTGGGTAGAATGGAACTAATTACATCAAGCTGTCTGTATCTCAGTTACTCCATCTACAAGCAGTGGTACCATGACCTTCAGAGAGTTTCCTAGGGTTGCATATTTATGGCCTCTTGCCATATTTATTCATATGGTAGGCATCCAGTACCTGCTGGTTGAGTGAATGAGTTAATAAAAGGATACCTGTCTCCCACTCTTTCCATTCTGTAAGAGCTGCTGGGTTTCTTCTTCCCAGTTTCCCAGACTGCTTTGCACATGCTTGAACTCATCCATACGCCTAGTCACCTGGCTTGAGAGAGAGTCAGTTTTTTGTTTGATCCTCTTCACTTCTACCTGTAAGCCCAAAGACATGAAGGAGTCTGACTTTCTGCCCACCAGTCGCCACACCAGCCTTCTTAGGAGCTTGGAAACAACAGCAATCCAGACACAAAGTTTAATAGAAATGAAGCAAAATGCCTAAATGATAGTCAGGTGGCAGTTTCCCCCAGCATCAAACAGGTCTTGTCTCTCTCTCTCTCTTTTTAAATTTTACATGTTGGTTTATACACGCATGGAAACACTTTTATGGGAATCATTGTGAGTGCTTTTTGCATAGGCAGAAAGCTGAATCTTCTTAATCTAATACATTTGTAATAGTTAAAGGAATCAATGACAGAAACAATGTAAAACTTCTGAGAAGAACAAAAGTCTTCTGAATGGCTGTACATAGAAATGTACTATAGTTTGGACCCAAATGTAAGTATCAAGCTTTATCTCTAAGAATTTCCCACAAGTTTCAGTAGTCCCCAAAACTAAGGAGATATAAAATTGTTATCCACTAATAGGTTCAGGATGTGGGCTAAGGCTTTTTCAGAGGCAGAGACTGGAGTTTAAGAACAAGGAAATGGTTAACAAGAAGGATATTCTTCCTAATCAAACACAAGAAAGGTCCCCGTGGAGGAAAAGCTGAATGACTGAACCATAGTATGGAACCCCCAGAGAAGCAAGCACTGTGGCCCTTCTTCTGTCCATCAAGCACATCAGTACATGCCCTCACCTGAAAAGACTGATCATTGACTCCTGGCAGCTGAGACACGGAATTGAGAAGGCGAAGACTATGCTGATAAGACCTATCTGCTTCAATGTCAGTTTGAGTGGCCTCCCCCGACAGTTGCTGGGCCAGGGACTTGGCTTTCTCCAACCTGCAGGGTGGGGAGAAAGAGAACTTTGAGGAATCACTCTTTTTATTAAAAGCAAACATTCATCTTGTTGTGTAAAAAGTATGCAGTTGGAGTTATCAGAAGAACCGAATGAGGTTATGTGACAGATATGTGTCCCTCTCCACAAACTAAACATAAGCCTTAAAGTTTATACAGGTTGGGTTGGAAGAATTCTGCCCAAGTTTCCCAATTCTTGATAATATATTCTTTTCCATTTACTCAACCACCACAACTTCTCCGAGCATTGCAATCTCTCAGTCAAAACACAAGTTTTACTTAATCAGTCCTTTCTTCTTCCAGACATAAAGGCATGTCCCTTCCCCCAAATTGACACTCTCATTCTCTCATCCCTTAGGATTAATATCTTTTAATGAAGCACGGTGCCCCTCGAACGGGGTTTGCGCTACACCCCGGAGGGACGCGGATTATCTTGGCCCAGGCGAGGACCCCTCGAACGTACTTTCCCATGAGCCCTTGCACCGCGGAGCCGTCCGGGCTGCCCGTGCTGCCTCCTTCCTGCAGGGCCTTGTGTGCCAGTGATAGCGCTTGTTTGGAATAGTCCTCGGTTTCCCTTACCAGCCGCTCCATGTTACTGGCTGACTCAACATGGCTGAAAGGATTAAAAACAAAGAATTGGAGTTTTCATAGCAAGGGCTTCCTTTAGGTCTTTTACTGGAAGGAAGGGAGAGGAGTAAGGGAACTGGTTTGTCTAGAAAAACCAAACAGAATTGACCCAGATTAGACGGAATTACAGGATCTGTCAGGAAGCAGGAGGTGTGCTGGAGATGGAGCTCATGTCTTAGACACTAGCTGGTGATCTTTTCCGTTTATGGCGTAACCAGGGGAGCAGGGTGTGGGGCGGGGAGACGGGTGTGAGCAGTCTCAGGGGGATGAAGTATTGCATTTATAAGCTGTTTTGTGCAGGAAGAAACCCCTAGGTCTTATTTCATCCGGGACCCACCCCTCTCCCCTCACTTTTGCTGAAACTCGACATTGGGTCCACCACTAGAGGGGACAGAGCCTGTCAATAAAAGTCCCCCAAACGCTTACAAAGTGATAAAAACAAACAAAACAACAACAAAAAACAAGCTCAGGAGGCAGTTTATGCTACAAAACACAAATCAACCTCCTTCACTGACTGAATTCCATCTGGGATTAGCAGAGCCTGCCACCCTGCTGAGCACTCTGCTAGGAGCAAACCTCTTTAACACGGTAGGATTTACAGTCAGGCAAGGACTAGGGAGCTGCCTGTTATCCCTGGGGCCCTGCAGAGCCGGTTTTGGGGAGGAGGTTCCCTCTCTGCAGTCTTGGCTCCCACAGGCTAGCAAACAACTCGTTGCTACTTGTTCCCAGGCTTGATGTGGGAGCCTGGGAGTCCCTCAAAGCTGCAGAACGTTCTTTTCCAAAGGCTGATTCATTTCACGGGGCCCGAAAAATCACATCTGACATACACCAGAGCCATAGAGTGAGTCATAGAAAAATCTGGGGTAAAAAACACCCCCACCCCCAACACTTGCCAAATGACCATGCCCAGTGGCCACCTACATAGGCTAAAAGCCAAGAGGTTTAAAAAAAATGGCTTCAAGGCAAGGAAAGGGCTGCAAAGGTGCCGAGAGGTAATGAATATGTTGCTTAGGTTCTGAATACCCTACCATCTTGTTCAAGTCTGGCCTTGCAGAGGTAGTCCGAAGCAGGGGTCTGCTTACCTGTCTGCCAATCTTGTGGCCTCCTGGGCCAGGCTTTTAAAACCATTTGGCCCCACGTAGTGCTCTGAGGAAGGAATGTTCTGTGGAAAAAGGAGAATTGGTTAAAGCTTTGCACTCAGCCCTGGAGCCTAAGTAGGTTCTGCATCTGTCCTGTTAGAACTAGTTGTCATTAGCCACAGAGCATTCTACACCCTGACACATCAAGAGTCCCTAGTCACCATAATCATTACATTAAAAAAAAAAGTATAGACAAGAATAAAGTAGAAATCCAGGGCTCCTGGGTGGCTCAGTTAAGCGTCTGACTCTTGATTTCAGCTCAGGTCATGATCTCAGGGTTGTGAGATTGAGCCCCTCACTGGGCTCCCTGCTCTGCGGGGAGTCTGCTTGAGATTCTTTCCCTGTCCCTCTCCCTCAGCCCCTCCTCTGCTCGCTCTCCCAAATAAATAAATAAATAAATCTTTAAAAAAAAAAAGAAAAAAGTAGAAATCCAATTTAAAAAAACTGTAAATAGAAATAGATTCATTTAAAAATATATACATATTAAATGTATTTTCATATGTATTTAAAGTCAACAGACTATATACCAAGTTTCAATGATGGTTATTTCTTAATAATGGGATCATAGGGGATTTTTATTTATTTTCTAAATTTTCTACAATAAACATTATTTTTGTAATAAGGGGGAAAAAATCAATACACATTATTCTGTAAATCCTTCACTTTGCCAGCATACCTGATTATCTTCCAGTATCCTTTATTCATCTTCTACCCACCCACTTACACTTTTGTCACCATCGCCTTCTTTACTGAGAAAGAGAAGAGGGCCCATTCAAATCTCTCCCTCCTGTCACACTCCAAACGACATCATTGAGAAAATCACATTGGCAACAATTTTTTCCCCTTTTCAGAATCCTGTCTTCACTGGATTCCTTCCTTCTCCCCACCATCCCTCCCATTTCATTTGTTCATGAAATGAACATTCACTCATTCATTCCTTCATTCATTCATGCAGCAAACGTATCACAGCCACACACATGCCGGGGGCTGAGAATGCAGACGTGAGCAAAACTAAATCCTGCCCACTAGGAGCTAACAAGCTAGGAGGTGTGCAGTAAGAAGGGAGAAGAGAGAGGGCCAACATGAGGTTATGGCTAACAAGAAATGAGCTAGGAAGAAGAACATAAATGCAGTAAAATGGGAAATTGCAGGAAGCCCAAGAACACAAAGAACAGGTACGCCTATTTCAAGGAAGAGAAGTTCAGCTCTCTACCGGGTAGACCGAAAAATGTGAGAGACGGCGGGTGGGTGCCCCGATACGGCAGTGATCCTCAGTACCCTGAACCCAGCGACACCTACAGTGTTTCTCAGGGAGGCCTCGCTCTCCTCCAGGCTCAGGTGCATCTGAGTGACCAGTCTGTGAGTATCCTGAACTCGGTTCTGATACTGACTGCCCAGGGCCCGGATTCTTTCCATAGTCGTCTTGAGGTCATTGAGGCGGTTCCGGTAGCTATTCTCTTCGCTCCTTGCCTTGACCAACTGGAGACTGAGAGATTTACTAGCACCTGGTGCCAACAAGGAAAAGGAGGATGAGCACTTTTGGAGTCAGCACAGAGGAATAGGACATGAGGGAGGGTTGAAGAGTGACTTTGACCGGCTAACGGCAAAATGGTAAAAACCCAATAAATGAATGCATGCAGCCACTCTCTTATCACCATCATTCAGGTCCCAGGAGATCACAGTCCTTTTATCTCTCCAAGTGCTGGACAGAGACACCCACTGAACTGATACCCGACAGAAGATTATAAATTCCCTTCTGTCTAAAGGGCAATTGGCCTTCATCACCTTCTGAAATCTGGGCTTCTCTCAGAATGTCCCGAAGGGCCTGCTCAGCCTGCTGCATCCTGCCCTCCAGCTCTGTGTCAGGCTCCACTCCGCCACCACCCTGAGCCCTGGAAACCAGGGCCTCCAGGCTCTGCAGCTGCTGCATAAACTGCTCCATCTGAAACCACACAGGAAAGAGAGTCAGAACAGGTGGTGGGGATCACAGTCCGATACCAGGTACTCAGGGGAGAACATCTAAAAGCCCAGAAATGCTTGGCATGTCATGGCAGTTAAAGATGCTAGAGCCTAGAGTTTGAATCCTGGCCCCGCTACTCATTAGCTGTCAGTGTGACCCTGGGCAAGTCGCTTTCATTACCCATTAGATGGGGATAATAATAATATCTCATAGTTATTACTTGGACAAAGTGAGTTAGTATTTGGATAGTGCTTGGAACAGTGTCTGGAACAAAGAAAGTGCTATAGAGGGCAGGTTAAATAGAAAAGCTAACAAAAAAAACGAGTTTGTTCTACCTTTGGGGTTCTGTTTGGGCCTTTTCTTCCTTCGCCCTTCACCCCAACAAAATAACAATAATTAACAACAACAATTTCATTCTTCTCTGGAACGTGAATGAGAAATTTCTGGAGGCCATTCTTGTTTGAGCAGCCTTGACACCTTTTAGACTCCTCAAATCTTCTACATATTTACGTTTTTCTTCATTTGTTTTACAAAGACATCTCTTGGAAAAAATCCAGCTAGGAAGTGGCATGTTGTAAGTGTAAAGAGTACTGAACTGAGCAAAGTCTCCAAACATTTGCAATTCTTCAGTCACGTGGCCAGGTGGAACCAAGAATCAGGGAATTCAGGGTGGGACTCTTGGTTCCACCTGGCCACGTGACTGAAAAATTGCAAATGTTTGGAGACTTTGCTCAGTGACTGACTTTAGAATGCCTTCTCTTGCAAATTGACTCATCAAGAGTACCAAATCAGACAGTATCTTCAAAAGGGATCTTGAAAATAGTGTATATAAGACCACAAACCTGAAGCATTATTACTACCATATGGAAGTTTTTAAAGAAAGAAATAGTAATCTCCACCCTCATCCCCGGGAGATTAAGAGGGTCCTAGATTTGTGACAGACCCACCCAGTAGACACCTAACAATTTTACTCATGGGGGTGAGGGTTGGGTAGCATGCACACCTGTATCTTCACTTGATTATAGCAAGCTGGACAGCTGGTTAGTGCTGCATGCTCACAGGTGAGGCCGCCAAATCCGGGCTTGCAAACACAGCTGCCATCATTTCTACATTCCCCAGGCTCTGAGCCCGCTGGGTTGCAGTTGCAAGCTAGAGACAAAACACAGACAAACAGAAAGCATTCATATCAAGCTAATTCTAGAAACTGGAAGTATGGCAAAGATAAAAGGAAGTTCAAGTCACCAATGGCAAAGTCAGTTCACATTGTGCTAGATTCATCTCTTGCCTGTGCCTCTAAGCACATTTATAATATAGATAGATCTTAGGAATCATCTAGAAGTTTGTTTGGTGTGGGTGTGGATAAAGAGATCCTACAACAGTCCACCCTTTCTGGTGGCACTTATTCTTTTTTTCCTCCCATTGAATTGTGAGCCTGTTGGATATTCTGTAGGCACTCTAGCTTTGCTCAAAAGGGGAATAACATGTCTTCTGGGCCTATTACATGCCAGATGTAATCTCTCTCTATTTTACAGATGAGGACTATGAGCTCAGAGAGGTTGAGTAATCTATCCTAGGTCACACAGCAAGTAAATGGTAAACCGGAATGAGAGCTTGGAAAGAGGCATTGCTCTTTTCCTTTTGCTCTGCTGCCTTTGATGTAGGAAATGCAGTAAAAAAAAAAGCAGTACCTTTATTCATTCATACTGATTGCGCACCTACTACGTGCCACACTGTTCTAGGAGCTGAGGATATACCAGTGGGTGAGACACCGCACTAAGGGAGTTACGGTGATTCTCTGGGTTGCTCTGTGGCGCTCACAAAACACTCGGCACACAGTAATATGATCACATATCTAAGTATACTGTCATTATGTGCTTACATACTTGTGTGTCTTCCTTATTAGCATATGATCTCTTTGGGGGCTGGAACTGACTTATGACCTCAGTATGTAGCTGCACATTGGGTCCATGGTAGTAGGTGCTTGACAACAGATGGTGGAGTGAAGAAATGTACAGTCTAAAGCCAGTGAAGTCTCTATTAATAGCACCTTGTAACTAGTATTCTATCCTTTACAGTGTACCTTCTCAGATGCTATTTTATTTTATATTTGCAACCACTTTGAGTTAAATATTATTCATCTGTATGAAGAAACTGAGGCTCAGAGAGATTAATTGGCATAACCAGTGTAATACGATCGGTATGGTAAAAAACTACACTTGAACTCAGTACTGCTCATAGCATGTGGGCTCTTTGCTTATCATGGGGTACTTTCTAGCACATCAGAGCTAACCCACAGGTTGGGGTTAGGGCAGGTGGGATTTGTGTTCCTGGGTGGAAGCCCCAGGTTGCACAGGGGTCCTCAGGCATTTCCAGGGTTGGGGATTCTGGGGTGAGTGGGAGGTGCTGGGCTCCCTGCAGACCTCCTGGGGAACCAGGAGCCCTCCCATCTGGGTGCCCAGAGGCCCTCTCTGGCTCTGTTATAATAAACAAGCCCCTGAGTTCTGGGCACCAGGGCTAGTCTGGGACCTCTGTGACTGAGGGGTGAGTCTGTGGGGCAGGCCAGCACCCTAAAACTGAATTTGAACTTGCCTAGAACTAAACTTGCCTCCTGAATATAACATGTACGGAGGCTCGATAGAAGGGTCGAGCAAGAGGACCAATGTATACATTTACACTTTGATCTGAAGCAGCCCTAAGGAATGCACCCTGATAGCCGTGAGGTTGAAGCCAAGTCTCGTTAGTAGAACTTGGAACTGTTACCTTTGTCTACATCAATTACACCGATTTCCTGAGAGGGTCTTTTAAACTGCTGCCCACCCTTCCACCCCACCCCCCGCCCCCCTGCCGCGTGTGTTCGGGCTTAGTCTCAAGTCGTTTCCTGCTGTCCTGGAACAAGCTAGGCAACACTCCTGCCAGCCTTGGAATGAGGCATATGGCCTGGCCCCATTCCATCTCCTCTTCCACTCAGGAATGTAAGCTCAACCTTTTTCTCTTCTCCCACCCAGCTTTAACCCATTCGACATCCTCCAGCTCTGCCTTCCAGAAGCCTGCTGCAGGGGTCTTAAGGCCTTTGACAGGTGGAAGGTCCAGACTGTTCGTAGGCCAGTTGGTCAGAGAAACCAAAGCAGCCCCCTCTTACCTGCTGCTGGCCTCGCCGATCAGTATGTTCCTACATGTGTACACGCTAGCAAGCTTACACGCATACACGTGCGTGCGCACACACACCCCACCTGTCCAGCTGTCTGGGGACGCAGTCCTACCTCGACACTTGTCCGCTGGGTTGGGAGCCAACGGGTCCCCAAAGTAGCCTGCTTTGCACTGGTCACAGTGGACACCCGCCGTGTTGTGGATGCACTTCAGACACCTGCCCGTCAGGCGGTCGCAGTTCCCAGAGGCACTGGGGTCCACATTGTTGTTGCACTGACAGGGCTGACAAGGCCTTACTGGGCCACGTTCCCCAAAGGGGTCCCCAAAGTATCCATCGGCACAGAGCTCGCAGCGGGCCCCTGGAAGGAACAAATGCCCAAGCCTGAGCGGTCATCTGCTGGCAGCAAGACCAGTCGTCCTTCTAGAAGAGCTTCCCACCCTGGACCCCAGAACAGTAGCCTCAGGGGCAGGTGCTCAGGGCAAGGGCTTGGCTCTTTCGCTCCACGGTGGTCCCCGATGTTGGAACACAGCAGCCCTGCTAGAAGGCTTCCTGCCAGCTAACTAGGTGGTTGGGGAAAAGTCAGTTTTATAGCAATACCACTGAGGCTGTCGCTGAAGAATTAACTCTTCTTTCAGACGGGCCAGCAGAGGGATGTGCCTGTATTCTTTTATTTTTTATTTTTTTTTTAAATAATCTCCACACCCAGCGTGGGGCTCGAACCCACAACCCCGAGACCCAGAGTCGCATGCCCTACCGACTGAGCCAGCCAGGCACCCCAGGAGAGAGATGTGACATTTAAAAGGCCACTAAATTTCCCTTCTGTACCCTGGTTCATTGTGTAAAGCTTAGTTAAACCACGTATTTCGGGGCGCCTGGGTGGCTCAGTCGATTAAGCATCTGCCTTTGGCTCAGGTCATGATCTCAGTCTTGGGGTCGGGTCCCGAGTTGGGCTTCTTGCTTAGTGGGGGGCCTGCTTCTCCTTTTCCTCCCCACTCATGCTCTCTCTCACTATCTCTGTCTGTCTCTCTCTCTCAAATAAATAAATAAAATCTTTAAAATAAACCACATATTTCATCTGAAAACTTCATCTCCTAGTGACAAACCTAAAACAACGTTAACGGTACGTACATCCCCTATAAACCATGCCCTGCCCTTCCTCAATCCACCCTTCGGGAGCATTCTTAGAATGAGGCCTTCTACAGTAACCCTAAGTAATTATAATCCCCTAGAGACTGTTTGGAATAGCAGCCACTGACGGGAATTCATGGTGCCGGCACGGGGGCAGCAGTGTGGGGCCTTACCCGTGACCCCCCGGGGACAGTTACTGCACACGACCTCCTCTGTCTCTGGCATGACAGAGCAGCTGAACCCGTTGTGGCAGGGACACGGCTTGCAGCTGCGGGGGTCGTGCGGGTCGTTGTAGAAGCCGATGGGGCAGTCGGCGCACTCGATGTCAAGGTTTTCATCCCCTGAGTAACAGTCTCCTGGGAGGCAGAGGAAGAAGGGAGGGCAGAGAAACGAGCAGGGTAAAACAATACACTTCCTGTAATATGGGTGATGCATGGGAGGCAGAGCTCTGGAACCAAAATCTTCCTTTCTGAAGCTTTCCCCGAAGTGCCTGAGCACCGGCATTCACCTTTGCCCCAGTACCAACTCTAAACCTGGCCATGACCCTGACTCTTATGCGGCTCCCCCATGCTCAGTAGACCTAGCTTCCTTTCCCACCCATAATGTAACACTTTCCTCCCCCACCCCATGGCCTGACACCATTCGTCCGCACATTCATTCAGGCCCTGACATTGCCTTTGATCTCTCCAAACAATTGAAACTTGACACCAACAACACCCCCAGCACTGAACCATGACAGCCGTCTCCTGTAACCTGGTACCTTTCCCACACCCTCGCGGCATGTTCCATAATGAAAAGGATTGAGTGTCAGAAAGCCCCATGTCCATCTTCTCTGACTCCAGCCCTACCTTCCTAATCCTTTCCCATCTCTGAAGTGAGTGCAGGCAGAGTCCTCCTTACACAGCTCTGTCTCTTGCACGGGAGACCCCAGTCACCTGACCGCCCCCGGCCACCCGGGCCAGGTGTCCTTTCACGCACCTGTGTCTGGATCGCAGGCTCCTCCCCCCTGGCAGCTACACGGAATACAGGTGCCAAAAGGTCCCAGTCTGGCAGAATCTCTTTTGTAGCCGGAAGCACAATCCTGGCAGAACTGGCCCTTGTAGCCAACGGGACACACGCACTGTTCGACCCAGGGAGCTGGGGCTCCGGAGATGGGGCGGGCTGAAATCAGGGTCACGTTGTCGAGGTACCCAGTGCCTGCCACACGGAGATCGGGTTAGAAGGAGCAAGTGGTGAGGTCGAAAGATCTAAAGGCAGGCCGCTCTTTGGATTTTATTTTTCTTAACTCGCTAACAAAGACAGGTGGCGTTCCCTCACTATGCCCTGGGTAGATGTACCGCCATCCGTCCTGACTGACGCACAGGCTGTGGTGTCCGGAAAGGCAGCGTTTAAATTTCGGCTCCACCCTGGCTAGCTGTGCGAATTGGGCAAGTCGCACAACTTGCTACCATGGTGTTTCCTCAAGTGTGGAAGAGAAGTAACAGTGGTAGGGACCTCCCATGTTGGTTGTGAAATGAAATGAGACAATGCATATATTATAATGTGCCTGGCTCGAAGTAAAGATTCAATAAAATTGTTT